TGTCCGAGTGAGGTCTACCCTTGTACAATAGTTGGAGCTCTACTAACATATGGCGTTGACGAGCGGCTTTGGCTGTTTCGCGAACGAATAGGGCCGGGTCCAGTGGGCTGGGGGACACTGAGGCGTTCAAGAAGGGAGGCCATTTGAAATCAAAGGAGTACAAGAAAAAGTGATGGAAGAGGTTGTGAGCAACTTTGAATGCGGGCGTGACTCGGACGTGACTGAGGGAAAAGCAGGGGTCACGCGTGATGCCCCTTTGGGTGTGACTTACATATGTCCCTCGCTGACCGGCAAATCCTAAACCGGGCCTCCATATAAGTTCCAAAAGCTAGTGCAAATGCAGACACTCGTTACCCCGCAACGCTCACCACCATGGTCGCCAGAATCTACACTTCCCCGTATTCCTCAATCCCCGTGGCCTCGGAATCCCTGTTCTCGCACCTCTTCTCCGTGACGGGCCCGAATGAGATCGGTGGTTACCCCGCCGCGCACCCCGCGTTCATCGACGCTGCTACCGGCGCGACGGTTTCGCGCGCATTGCTCAAGCATCTTGCTCTCTCTCTGGGGTACGCCTTGCGAAATCACCCTCAGCTCAAATTGAAACGTGGTGATACGGTGATGATATTCTCCCCTAATTCATTGGCTTTCCCAATCGCTCTTTTTGGTGCCATCTCAGGAGGTCTGCGGTGTACCCTCGCCAACAGTGCCTACACGAGCAGAGAGCTGGAACACCAGTACAAGGACAGTGGCGCGAAAGTTATTCTCGTAGCTGAAGATGGCGTACCTGTGGCACGGGAAATGCTGAAGGACCTGGGGCTCGCGAAGAAAGATGTAGATCAACGCATCGTAGTTCTGGGGAATGGACTCCAATGGGCGGGAAATCGTAGTACCAGGACCACCGCTGAGCCCGGTCTCTTGACCCTCGACGAACTATTGACGTTGGGCACTCTTCCATCCGAAGAACGTTTTGACGGTGCCGACACCCATGAAACAGTCTTACTGTGTTACTCGTCCGGGACCACAGGCAAACCAAAAGGTGTTATGGTCAGTGATATATTAAACATCGACATCGCATCGCGACGACGTCGGAACTCACACCTGTGGCTTAACCTTCACCCCGCTAGACATCCCACCAGAACATAACATCTGTGCTTGATATGGTCAAACTCGTATTCCCTCCTCTGGATCCGGCGAAAGATGTCATGCTCGGTGTTCTTCCTTTCTACCACATATACGGTACCATCTCTCTGTACATCAATGATTGTTCCTACTAACTTCTAATTAGGCGCCGTCAAGTTACTCAACTTCCCTCTCGCCGCTGGTATTCCTGTCGTTATACAAACTAAGTTTGACCCTGTTGCGTTCTGTGAAAACATCGCGCGTTATCGCGTAACTGCTTCATTGATTGTTCCGCCTATCCTCGTCGTGCTTTCGCGGCATCCAGGTATGTCTACGATTTCCTGCATCAGATCTCCTTCTAACTGACCGTCATTAGCTGTCGAACAGAACGATTTAAGCACATTAAAAATTCTCTTCTCTGGCGCAGCTCCTCTAGGAGCAGCACTTGTCAAAGATGTAACCACACCAGTGTTACGTTCAGCTTCCGATTACTGACGGAGCCACCTCTTCAGGTGAAGCGCAGGTTGCTGGCCTGTAGCGGTGGCAAGCAAGAGTGTTTCGTCACGCAAGGTTACGGGTTAACGGAAACAAGCCCCACGACACATCTCCTCTCCACCGCTGATTCTGACAGTAAAGTCGGTAGCATTGGGCTTTTGCTGCCAAATCTAGAGGCACGCTTAGTCGTAGATGGCGAGGGTGACGGCCTTATAGATGCGGAGGAGGGCCAGCCTGGAGAACTCTGGCTTAGAGGCCCGTCCATAATGAAGGTCAGTATTCTGCTGGATTTGTCCCGCCGGCTAGGTATTGATGCTGATATTCGCACACAGGGATACCTTAATAACGAAGCTGCGACCAAAGATTGCATTACTCACGACAAATGGTTCAAAACTGGTGACATTGGCATCAGAGATAAAGACGGGTATTATTATATCGTCGACCGACGGAAGGAGTTGATCAAGTACAAGGTGCGGCCCGTCCCTTTGAGGCAGTAGGCAGCAGTGTTCTGATCTTTCCTCTTTGAATCAGGGTTTCCAAGGCAAGCTGTCTTTCCCTGCCCACTGGCTGTCGATCTAACCGATACCGTGTAGTACCGCCCGCTGAACTGGAGAGTGTATTGTTGACACATCCAGGCATTGCTGATGCAGCTGTCATCGGTGTGTACGACGAGGGGGAAGCCACTGAGTATCCTAGGTTTGTGTTCATCTCTCACGAGCTTGAAGAATCCATGATACTGATTAAACTGGATTAGGGCTTACGTTGTTCCTGCCTCGCCTGAGAAGGTAGGCACGCCTGAGCAGAAGCGCGCATTTGGTGCAGATGTTGCCAATTGGATAAAGACCAAGGTCGCGCAACACAAATTCCTGCGTGGTGGTAAGTTCTCCGTAACATAATCATCGTCTAGCACATCGCTGATCCAACTCAATATCCAGGCGTAGTCGTGATAGACGTGATACCCAAGAGGTAAGTTACTTTACAGAGGCCTGTTTGTCTGCTTCGTTGTTGACGTGCATTCTGCAGTGCTGCTGGTAAGATTTTGAGGAGAGAACTTCGTGACCTTGCCAAGGCAGAAATGGAGAACCAGCCTCGCAAAGCGAAGCTGTAAATCGACACGGATGGGATGCTCGTCTTAGGGGATTTATATGTTAACTTGTATATAATCACATATCAATAGCCAATCTCAATAGCCATGGGCACATGAGAGGGAATTTCGACTGAAGAGGAATAAATTTGAGGCTGTTACCATACAAAAGCCTACTCTAAGAGTAAGTACTCTGGAACCATTATTGATTGTCGCCCTTGCGTTTGGCTGCAAAAGCTGAATTAGTTACTTGTTCAACAAATAAGGAACTCGTATCCGTCAGGGTGTCAAATTCTGGAGCTCGCCCCCAATAGGGTATACACCATGAAGAAATTCAAAAAGCCAACAAACATCATGCGTGGAAGGAAGCACGGAAGGTTGCTCACCTGCACTGAGTTATCCGTCCGATCCCATTCTGCCGAGCGATCGACCACGAAGGCCGAAGAAGGAAAAAATACGAGCTCATGCTGAATGAGAGTAAGCCCCATTGAGTTGAAGACGACGGTAAAGAAGTCCACAATCGCATGACTGTATCTATGAGTAACGAATTGCCCACCCTCCCCTACACCGCCTGAGCAGAGTTCCGCTCGTATCTTCGCGGAATTCGGCCTTCACCAGACGGCGAGTATCGGGACGAGGCAACAGAGTGGCCGAGAGGGAGCCCTCCGGATGAAACACCCAGACCGAGCGAGTACGAGTCCATCGGTGAGCGGAGGGCAATGCATTCTCGCCGATCCGACGTCCAAAATCCAGCGCGCTTAAAGCTGGCTGCTTTCCCATTGGTATGGACGGGACCATGCTCTGTATCTCCGGGGACTTTCCCCACAGCATGAAAAGAGAGTTGGAGGCTCTCTGTGCGTGAACTGCGACAGCGATTCTTCAGACAGCATGAGATGAGTTGCAAATTTTTGCACAACAGAATTTTTAAGGCGAGGTGAGATGAGTCAGCAGGCGCCGCTTGAATTTTGAAGCGCCTGGCTGTGCCGGGTGGCCGTGAGGTGCGCAATTATTGACTCTTCCCTCTTCGCCTTGTTGTGCGCCAGTCGTTCATTCAGAATCATTTCCATGTCCTCGAGTCAAGATACCCCCGCATCCACATCCAAGCGGCAGAAAGCGCCCCCCATACCGTTCGCAACATGGCCGACCATCAAGATTCTCAATCCGCCACAGGGCAAGTCCCATCTCGTCATCTTTTGGCTGTTCGGGACTCTGACTTGGCAATAGGTCGCTTCTCCCCCAGGACCGATGAACGGTGTTTTATGTACTGCTCGCAAACAGTGGCTGGCCGGTTCCATAGGAAGGAGCCGTACTGCAAAGCCATATGCATTCGCAAGGTCTTTACGCATGAAGTCCGAAATATTGTCTCGTTCCGTACGCATCACAATCTCGATGCAGACGGGAAAGCCAAGTATCCGTTACCCAAAGAGGGCCAGCCTGCTAATCTTCCACCGTACCTTGGGGGAACGGACCCCGAGAGCATCGATAATGATGACCACGTCAGGAAACCTGGAGACGATAAGAAGTACTGGGACGAGGGCTGGTACCTGTGGTATACGAAGTCGTCGCAGGGTGTGTGGGAAAAGGTGTGGACGATGCGACGGGACTTGGAATCGCAGCAGCAGTATGAGGCAGCGAAAGACAAGCGGAGGCAGGACTGGGCAGAATATCAAGACTACCAGAAAGAACCCAAAGCAACGCCAGTAGATTCGCCCGCACCAGATAAATGGTGGGGGCCCATAGTCCCCCCTCCGCCTATCCTCGATATATCGCAAGTGTCGCACCATCTTCTGAAGTTCTATCTGATCGCTCATCCAACAATTTTATACAGCGCCGAATCACTTTTGATATCCCTTCCGCCACCTCTACCACCTTTGTACAGCAAGGTAGAGAATCTACTTGCACCCACGCACAAGCTCCTTGGTATCGTCCATGAGAGTGTAACGTCAGGTGCCCAGCAAGAACTCGTACAACGTATTTGGGAAAAGGCTTGGACGAAAGACCCATACGTCCTTGCCAGTCGGGCGTTTGGGCTATTATGGGAGAAGTGGAGCAGTCCCCCCGACGATAGCGATGACCAAAAGAAACCCACTTGATCCATGCTACACGTATTTTGGACTTTATATATAGACTATTGATCATATGTATTAGATACAGAGAAAGAGTGAGTAATGTCAATTAGCGAAGATGTTATGGATATCCCAGAGAAAAGTGTCTGAACCGTAGGGACTTTGGGGTAATCATGACCTTGCGGGCAGCAAAAAGACTTTGAAAAAAGGATCTCATGGGAGTCGGATCCGACATTTGACAACAGTGAGGTTCGAACTCACGCCCTTTCGGACTGGATAAGCTGTAGTTGCCTAATTCCAGCGCCTTAGACCACTCGGCCATGTTGCCATGCTTCTCATCCCAATCACCAACGTTACAGCGCTCTCACCTGCATTGAAGGCAAGCAGCAAGATCCGTTTGAGCTGCGCTTGGATGTCGGTCTGTCGCACCTAGCCTACCACTCATCATATGCGATCTCATATTTCCGACAAGACACAATATGGGCGTGCAAGGCCTTGGAAAATACTTACGAGATAATCGCCGCGCACTGGCCAAAACCATCTGTGTGCCCCAGAAAGACGCTCCCCCAACGACCTTGGTTATTGATGGCTGGTCGTGAGTCACAGGTAGCTTCATTCATGTAAAATCCTCAACCCTGATCGTTAGGTTCATCTACGCCCTGTATTTCGATTCGCGCCTGCCCTGGGTGTATGGCGGCGAGTATGCAGAGTTCTCGGACCTAGTAAAGCAAGTCGTCAAAGCGTGGATCAGCATTGGCCTCAGAGTGCACTTCGTGTTCGATGGTCAGTCCTTCAACCGTTGTGTGGAATTTGAGCGGATTTCTCTGAACAATGAGACGATCTAGGTGCATACCCGCGACTGAAGTTCCTAACTGGTCGTTTACGTATGGAGGAATCGATCATCAAGCCTTCCCTATTGTATTTCAGGACTTCGCCAGCCTCCCGTGTGCAACCAAGAATAATTCCTCCTTTGATATATTCCAATACGGTCCAAGCACTCAAACAAGTCGATGCAGCTAACGACGATCTCCAGCTTCACTTTGCTGATGAGGAGGGCGACCCATACGCAGTAGAGCTCGCCGGTCGTCTAGGAGGCTACGTCGTTGGTAATGATTCTGATTTCATTATCCTCAACTCAGAGGGTTACCTTGGCTATATCCCCCTCGACGAGATGGTCTGGTCCTCCGTGGAGACCCCAGATGGTGCCCCAGAGGTCGACGATTTTGGCTTTACCCCTGCGAAACCCAAGCGCAAGAAACCCGAAGCAAGGTTGGACCGCGGATTGATTCCTCCTGACGGCGACGAGCTGAATTTATCCCTCTCCATGACAGCCTACAAACCCTCAGCATTCTCTTCACATCTCCGTGTCCCTGCCTCCTTGTTCCCTCTCCTCGGCGCGTTGGTAGGAAACGACTACACCAAACATTCACCGCTCCCTCAACAGAACATACAACAGCTCTTCTTCGATCGGCAGTCGACATCTATTCAACGCATCGAACGAGTAGCGACTGCGCTTCGTTCTATTATCACTGCTTCGACAAATAGAAAACACAAGCCCATGCATCAGATCGGAAGCGTGATGGACCTCATTGACCGCGCAGTGAAAGCATTGCTCCTCCGAGCGTCGTCCATGGGTTCTGCAGAGATAGATTCTGTCATCGATCGCGTGGTGGACTCCACGCTGCAGTACGCCATCCCCAAACACGAGGGCTCACAGGGGCTGGAGGGGTTGTGGGCAACCGACTTCTGTGCCCTACACCCTCCAGATATATGCCCTTTGCTACCAATGATCTCACGCAATGTTATAGCTTTAGCCGAGATCTCTGATGCGCAGGATGGCGAAACCGAGGAGATGCAACGGGCGAACCAAGTTCGTGCTGCGTATCTCGATGCCTATAGGGAAGGGTTCCTATCACCGCGAATTATGGATGTGCTCAGCACGGGGACATACTGGCCTCGCTTACCTCTCGAGCACCCAGATATAGAGACAGTAGCTGTATCTATTGGCCGCGATATCAGGTCCTGGGGTTACTCAATACTCGACGATGCAGTGGGCATAGAAGCTCAGTCGGATCCTGCTGAAAATGACTCGCCCCCGAATGACGAACTAGGCGAGATGAGCGAAGAGTCAGACGAAGACGAGTTAATCGATGTAATGGAAGAAGAGTCAGATGATGAGGAATATGCAGCCTCGTCTCGCGCAGATCCTCTGGCGCCTCTCAAAGGCGCGTTACAACAACTGCACGCTCCCGAAGCGTCGAACGTCGGTACCCTAGGGGGTCAGCGCGATTCCTCTTCAACCAGGGGGGCACTACAGCCCGCACGGCCCAAGGTAGTCATCGAGCATGTGCGTCGAGGAACGCATATAGCGGAGGACCCTGTGGAAGTACCTCCCCTCTCAGACCTTGCTGATACATTTGGTGCAAACTTTGCCAACAAAGCAGGGCTCCCGGTCCCACTATGGCCTGAAGAAAATCGGTTGGCTATGCTCTTGCATGCTCTGAAATCCCATCATCCCCATGTTGCAAGCCTTTCCCCCGATACTCTCCTCCCCGTATTGGCAGTTCGATGGGTCATAATGACACTGCACACCCGAGCACTGGAGGCTCCCAGCATCCATAGACAGGGGGAACAATGGACGCGTCAAGAGGCTAAATCTGTTCTAGCCGCATTGCTTGCTAAATCGAGTCATTCAGCGGACAATGAGCCACCCCCCGTTATCGACAGACATATTCAAATGGTGGCACAGGTGGCGATGGCCCTCGAAAGCATATCGCATTTTGCACAGATCCTACTTTTACCTCAGTCCATCTCCATGACAGCCCTTCATTATTCAGGCCGTCAGATCCACTCGTATCTTACAGCAAACCAAACATCCCCAGAACTGCCAGTAGCAATATGGCATGCTTGCGAGGTGGAGTTAGTAGGTTCGTTTGCTGAAGAGCGACGATCCAAGTCGAGGAAGTCTAAGAACAGGGTGATTCCTGTTCCACAGGTCAAAATGAAGGCGTCGGCTCCTAGTGGCCTGTTCGCGATGTTAATCGAGGCTGATGTCTAGCGTAATGTTCATTCGACTTACTTTCCACTAAAGTAGTTTCAGCTGTATATCCACTGCATGTGCCTGTTGATTTGGGCAATGCCCCGGTGCGATGGTACTGCCGGACTACACGCAAAGCAACAGCTTCAGTGATATGAGCAATTACATAGCCACGATAGGAACAGCCATCGGCGCTAATGTTTGAGTAAAGTTTGCCACACAAGAACTCATATAAAGCTGGGACACAACCTACCGGCAACAACCAACTCAACTATCCATCCATGGCGACATACCGAACATCGAGCACTGTACCAGCAGACATCATCACTTATCGAAAGGATGGAAAGCTCGTCTTTGTGCAGCCAGCCAGCAGCTACATGGTGAGTTTCCCAATGGTTGGCGCTAACATCTCAACTATATCGCTTTGTGACCAGGGCGCAATCGAGGAAGCTCGGAAGGTCTTCCCCGAACTGGGAGCAATACCCGATGACAGGATAGGCTTCTATATAACTGCGACTTTGGGACAATCCAAACAGCAAGTACGGGTGTCGGAAAGCGCGTGGTGTGCAGCGATTGCACGCCTGCTGCGGGGCGAAGTCGTCGACGTACGCGTAGTCGAAGGAGACATCTCGATCTCGATTGAGCCACCACAGTATCTCGAGGTGCCAGATACAAAGGAGGCTTCGGAGTTCTACAACACAGACAATGATATCAGGGAGTCGCGCTCGGCGCCCTCGTCCCGCTCGCCGTCACGCCAGCCGTCCCCATCATCTGGCAGAATGAGAGAACGTCGCAGTTGGTGGCATTTACCATCATGACCATCTCCGCAACTTCATCATCCAATACTTTACCACTTGGGGACTAATCATTATCGTGACAATGCTACTATTTATCGGTTTGGCCACTCTCCTCTTCAAGACTGTGTCATGGAGATTTTTCACGGATGTAATATGTACATGATAGAAAGGAACGAGTGTGTGCCTCCATCCTTGTTTATGTTCGACTATGTCGAAGCAAAGCCTTGCTTCGGAATGTGGCGTTATATTGCAGCAGATTGTTGATATCGCGAACCCAATCATCTTCTTTCCCAGGACCAGCACCTTCGACATTTGACTGCTCCTCGACGATCGAAGAACGGTTGATGCAGGGCACGGGATATGGCGAGGCTTGCACGTTTACCGACTCTCCGGGATTAAGGACATGAGATACCCTACCGTCCATCGAAACGCCGGCGGGCGACCGACTGCGATCTCCGATCTGTAGCAGTCTTAATGAGGCGGCTGAGGCATCATTAGAGAAACACGTACCCTCAATGTTATAAGTGATGAGGCAGGGAACACCAACGGCCGGAAAGACAGGCTCCGAGGACAGATGGGAGTAAGTACTAAAGCGCTCAGCGACGGGTGTACAATAGGACCCCCAGCAGACAAAGAGTAGGCTGTAGAGCCTGTCGGCGTCGAGACAATCAGACCATCTGACTGCGAAGATGGTTAGACAATTACAACAGCTGTGGGCATAAAAATGGACGCACGACAGCCTCCGTCAGATGTTGACCGTCAACAAATATATCAATGGTGTTGAGATGAGGACTTGATCCACGATGCAAGGCAATTTCATTCATCACTTGCCAATCTAGAACACAATCACGGAGCTGAGATATAGATAGAGCTCTGAAACTAGGAGTCAACATACCATCATTGTCTTTGCCTATGTTCATCAACTCTTCGTCGTAAAATCGACACGCCAACCGCATCCGGTTGAGGATAGTCGCCTTGCCTTGGAACACACTCTCCAATGCCCTTGAGAAGTCGTCGATGTCTTCAGTTATGGCTGCATCAGGGGGAAGTGGGTGGATAGACGGAGCCCGGCTACGCACGAAAAGGAAGGAGAAAGCCAAGCGTGCCCATGGAAAAGCTTAGCACGGGTGGTACCGCCGCAGTACTGAATAACGAGGATGCATGTAGGATTGTCCCATCGCCCCCAAGGGTTACGACGAGGTCAATGGGCTGTACCTTTGCGCCTAGCACGCCGAATAAGCACATTTGTCTCTATAAAGGCAAAACAGCTCACCTTGCCAAACTTCCGCTCCATGAGGTATATCAGGCCTGTCTTCATGAAATACCCGTACGCCAGGATACTTCGTGTGTACATGCCTGACGAGAACAACGTTACAAGATAAGAAAGCGTATTGATAAAATGTCATTTACTCAAGGAAGGCGTCGATGGCGAGGATTACAGGCTGCGTTCTGAGCTTGTTTACTATCAAGATAGACTTTGGAGGGTGCTTCATA